TGACCTGTAGGTTTCCTCAGCTGAATTCATTGAGCGGACAATAAAGGCGATCATTGAATTTCGTATAGGATTCCTTCCCCTGTTCGTTTGTACACGGGTAGACTTTTTTCTCTCTCAAAGTTAGCCAACTAAATAGACAACAACGATACAACCAAAGTCTTCCACTGTGCATGCGCCGTGAAATTTTCATGTACCCGTTTTGTACTTCCGAAAAAAAAGATGATGACGACCCAGCCATCCGTTTGAGTGCAAGGGGACGGGGGTAGCTCTGTCCACCAACGAAAAGAGCACCAGGCAGTTCAACAACTCATCACGTTGGTGCTCTCCGTATCCGAGGATGGGCTTCCACCTCCTTTACACAATGATTAAACAAACGTATACAAAAGCCAACGAAAAACCTCATAAGGAGGAAAAGACGTCTAGGCAACAGCTTCCACTTATCCATTTCCACAAGAGCCACAAGAGCCATCCATTATAACGCGGCGGCAGAGAGGAAAAAGGTAGGCGACGGCTTCGTCGTCGAAAACCGACAGGGTGCGAATGCACGACCGATTTAGGAAAGAAAACGCCTCGGGAGGCCGATTTAGATGGCTGAGTAACTTCGTGGCACGGACACTCTCACACTGGAGCCTTTAGGACTTGTCTCTGGACATGATTGCAGTCACATACTTCTCTGGATCTCCGTAATTGCGATCAGATGCATCCAGGAAGTGCTAGTTAAGAGTATGCCCCTAACAAAGAAGAGGAAACGAGCACCCCACGCCGGGAAGGAGAAATGCGCAGTGGGAGGGCAAGACAGGCAAAAGTCGACAGAGAGGGAGGGGGAAATTCCATAAGGCTGAAAGAGACTGAGGCAATGGATCGTGCCCCAGGTGCAAGGAGGGTCGATGCAGAGATTGAGGACGGGGGGAGGCGAGAGTAAGAACGCATAGAGAAGGCTTCAAACACACAAGGCCTGGCTAGCAAACCACAGATTGAGCGCAGAAGAGACATACAGAAGGGGGCACGGCAGAGAGAAGCACAGCACAGACGTAGGATGCACAGCAGAGGGATGAGCAACAAGAGAGCCAACTTGCACGGGCAAGGAACCCGAGGTAGAGGGACATGGGGAAACGCAAAGCAGTGCGGATACGAAGAACGTGCACAAGAGGGAGGCGACTACAGCGAAGCACAGGAGAGAGAAATCGTCAACGGCAAGGGAAGGAGAAAAGACCCCATAAAAACGAAAGAGGACCCACAGAGGAAGGAGGGTAAAATCAGAAGAAGAGACCACAGGAAAGGAGGAAAGTCACGCCACAGAGAGCACCCACTCCAGACAGCATACCCGCCCGCAGAGCAAATCCCCCCCCAGAGGGAGAGGACCTGAGGCAGCGGCCTGGGGGATGAACCCGCAGCAGACGGAGGTGACCCGAGCGGGAGAAGGAGATGACCTGCGACTGACGGATGGACCAGCGCTCCAGGGAGAGGAGGAAAGCCAGCGCCGGAGGGGACCACAGAGAGCCCACGGCGAAGTGAAGGACACAGCCCACGACAGAGAACGGGAGAGAACCCCTGACGATGGAAGAATTGCATTGATGAGAGAAACCAAGTAGGTAAGACAGCTGAACCGGAGAGTCAAACAAGACGGACGCGAAGAAGGTAGGCAAAGCAGAAGGGCTGAATCAGAGGGAACGAGAGGGCAGAGCAGTTGGGGGTGCCACCAGTTGGCGCAGAAACACGGCAGAGGTGAGGCACGGCAGAAGGAGAGGAGGCACGGTAAAGGGAGGGGTGGGGAGGCAGAGGGATGCGAGGCACGGCCGAGGGAGAGGAGGCATGGCAAAGAGAGCGGAGGCACGGCAGAGGAAGCGTAAGCGCGCAAGAGAAATGGGAGGCACGCCAGAGGAAGGGGAGGCACGGCAGGGCGAGGAAAGGAAAACCAGAGGAAGGGGAGGCACGGCAGGGGGCGGGGAGGCACGGCAAGAGGAGGGAAGGCACGGCAAGGGGAGGGGAAATAAACGAGAGAGACGGAACCCGCAGTAAGGACAGGTACCCACGGCCGACGGAGAGACCCACATCAAAGGGGAAAACTATGGGCGAGGCAGGGCGTTTCCACAACAGAACGGAGAGAGCCATAGTCGTGGGAAGGAGAGATGGAGGGAGATGAGAGAGGGAGGAGACAAAAAGCCACGGGATCCCACGGTGGGCGGCGGAGAGACAAGACAACTGCAGATAAAGGAAAAGAGCCCACGATGGACGTTAAGAGCACACAGCCCGCGGGAAGAAGGCGCACGGGACAAAACCACGCAAACAGGTGCTGACTGCGCGTGGTGGAATTTCAAAATCCTATCACTGATTGATTGCCCAATCGCGGCATTTTGACGTCCTATCATTGATCGCCCAGCGCGGAATTTTGACGTCCTTCCATTGATTGCCCAACGCGGAATTTTGACGTCCCATCATTGATTGCCTAGCGCGAAGCAGCAGCGGGGTGGCTTTGACGGGCACGAACCAAGGAACCTTGACGACGAGATAGAGAAACAAGAACAGAACTTTTCCTTCCAAGACAAGATTATCGGTGGGCTGGAACCATCATACATACACCCAACCAGTTCTTTTCAGCCACCCCTACAAAAGCACACGCACGCACAGATTGAAAATTGGACAGGCCCAACGACGAGGTGAAGAAGAGATATTGCAAGCTAAAACAAACTGTACGGGATAGGATAGATAAACGTTTTCCTGTATCAGACACAATAAAAACTGAGTGCAAAATATAGGCGCGGGATAGCGATTGTGTTATACCGCAGTCACCGTGATGAAGGCACCCCTCCTAATAGCGAACAAAAGGGTGTAATTATCTTCTCCTCCCGTGCACAAGAACTTCTCCCGTGCACAAGAACGTGCACGGGATATGATAGATAAAAGATAGTTTCCTACGATAGATAAACCGTTTTTTTTCCCAAAAACTGAGTGCACAACCAATATAGGCGCGGGAGAGCAGGATAACAAGTTCGTCGCATGCAACAGCAGTCCGCTCCCTTCCGATAATAAAAAGGAGCGCAGGGAGGAGAAGAGGAAAAATTGTGGTGCTTAGACGAGGCGCAGAGAGGAGAAGAGGATATTATAGAGGGGGGAGACAAGTGGGAAACAAACACTGAACACCGAGAGAATGTACTTCTGCCGTCTTCCGCCGAACACAACGCACCCTCATTTTGGTGCGTACCTGACCGAGAAAGTATAGCTTGTACACATTCACTAAGTCCGGCTGCGTTAGGTTCGGCGGAAGACGGTAGTGACGTAACAAAGCCTGACCGGAGCGGGCAAACGGCGAAGAGACGAGTCTGATTGAGAAACAGCAGCTGCACATGAAACCGTAGAGAGACCCAGGGAGATTTTTTTGTCAGAAACCGCAGCGATCCAGAGAGGAAGAGGAGAGACGACGCGAAGGGAGAGAGCGGCGGAGAGGGTTGAACGGGAGAGAGGGCCAAAGAGAAATTAAGGGAAAGGGAGCATCATAGGGCAGGGTTCGATACGAAAAAATCGCAGCGATCCAGAAGAAGAAGAGAGAGGACGCGAAGGGAGAGAGCGGCGGAGAGGGTTGAACGGGAGAGAGGGCCAAAGAGAAATTAAGGGAAAGGGAGCATCATAGGGCAGGGTTCGATACGAAAAAATCGCAGCGATCCAGAAGAAGAAGAGAGAGGACGCGAAGGGAGAGAGCGGAGAGGGGGTTGAACGAAAGAGAGGACCAAAGAGAAATCAATCAAGGGAAAAGAAGCATCATAGCGCAGGATTCGATACGGAAAAATCAAAGTGCAAAACTACACGCGAAAAGACTGCAAACGACCACATCTGAGTGAAGAACCATGAACAACAAACGAGCACGAACGAGTCCCAGAAGAAGGGGCAAAAGTGTAAATACTGGAAGTAAGCGAGGGACAGGTAGACAAACAGGCACAACGAAAAGCCGAGAGAATTGAGATGAGGGGAAGTGGAAAATCCATAAAGAGACAACACGGGTGAAATTTGCGACCGCGAGAAGCACGAAACTGGGAATGGATTCCTTGAACAGAAGCGCAGAGGAACTGCCAAGCGGTGAGGAGAGAGAAAAGTAGGCGAAATATGAAACAGGGGCAAGTGTGTGAGAGGTGGTGCGCACGGTGGGGATAAACATCTAATCACGACGGCGAAAATCACGGAGATATCAGAAAAACGGCCACCATTGGGTACACACAACATCAAGAAGATAGCCTGCGAGCCCCAAATAGGAAAGTAATGATTCAATGCATGTGCGGCTGTGTGTAGGCTAACGAGCCGGCGTGACGATAGCCAAAAAGAGAAGGACAGTAAGAAGGCGCTGAAACGATTCAGTTGAGAAAGATAGACAATCGCAGAATGCACATGAACAAGTCGGCGGTGAGCCTTCTTCGGAAGTAGACAATCGCACAAAGATAGACCGTGACACAACGGCAGGAACAGGTGAGGCATACGGACTTCGCGCGCAAGTAACTGACGAGGGAAGCATGGTCAGCGTAGGAGTAGAGATTGGAAGCTGCTCCTCGCTTAGGACGAATAAACAGGGGGGAAATAATGAACGGGGGAAATAATAAGCAAATAAACAAGCCGCGAAAGACGGTAAACAGAAACGAAGCACCACAGAAGAGAGAGACGGGAAACAGGCAGCAGGAACAGACGGCGGAGAAAAGTCAAAAAAAGTGGCGACAGAAAGAAGACAAGGAGACATGGGGACAAGAAAGGAGGAAGCAAGGAGAGAAAACAGATAACGAGCGCAAAAGAGGAAATCAATACGCCGATTAACAGCCCATAGGCACGACAGACGTAATCATGGCATGGATCTCCGAACTAAATGACACGGCGTGGCAACCCAAGTTAAACAAAGGGGCAACTTCTCAATTAGGGACCACAGCCCCGGATGTAATTTCATGCACAGACAGAAGAGGAAGCAGCAGGCAACAGAAAGCGCCCAAAAGTGGTGGTATATGGGAAACCATCGCCAAACTCACATATATGCCCCGCCGCTCTCTGTGTGGCTACTGGGCTCCTTGCTGGTGCAAGAGGAACTATGGGGGCTCTTCTTTCCCGCGTTCATTTTTCCACATTCCCTGTCAGATCTGCCGTTTTCTTCAACCCCCGTCTCTCTCTCTCTCTCTCTCTCTCTCTCTCTCTCTCTCTCTCTCTCTCTCTCTCTCTCTCTCTCTCTCTCTCTCTCTCTGTGTGTGTGTGTG